ATGAGTAATTGACACAGATTTCTATACACCAAAATTTATCACTCCAAGCATATCTTCTCCTAAGATCATGGCTAATGTATTTGCATCACATATGGACAAAGCTAAAAGATTTCAATCAGAAAGTAACAAACAAATGCCAAGCAATCATTATTTTCCAGCAAGAGAGAATCCCAATATTCCTTGACATTCCATGGCACTACCATCACTGAATCCACCATTGTCAACATCCTTGGAGTTCCATTGACCAGAAACTGAACTGGATTAGTCATGTAAACACCGGTTACAAGAGCAGGTCAGAAGCTATGAATCCTGCAGTGAGTAACTTGTCACCTCACTCAACAAAACTTGTCCACCATCCACGAGGCGCAAGTAGGGAGTGGAAGTAGCAGCGTGAAAGAATACTTGCCACCTGTCTGGATGATTGCAGGGTCAGCAATATCCAAGAATCTCAATACAATTCAGGACAAAGGCTGAGAGGAGATTTGCTTGAAATGTGCAAAATAGTGAAGGGCACGGACAAGGTGAATGTCCGTGCCCTTAGCAGGGAAATTAGTGACGAGAGGGCATAGATTAATGATTAATAGAAGGTTTAGTGGGGAGATGAAAAGATTTTTGACCAGTAGGATGCTGCCTGAAAAATTTGTCGAGACAGAACCTCTTAACCCATTAGGCACCTGAAGGGCCATGCACCAAATGTTGGAAAGTGAGATTGGGCTTGGTGAATAGTTTTTTGGGTTGGCTCAGACATGATGGGGCAAATGGCCTGCATCTGTGCCATAAACTTATGATTTCACTTGCATATTTCTGTGCAATCTAGGCCAGGAGTGAGTCCCTGGAGCTATGGGACTGGTTGCACCTTTATCAAACTACTATCCCTGGCTGTGTCTGTTCAGATGAGTTTGTCTCCTGGTTTTTCCCTTTAATAGAATTCAGGTGGAATATTTGTATAGTATTTGCAATTCTCCAATCCTTTTTGCACCACTCCTCCATCGAAGTAGGATTAGTAGCCAGCGTGTTTGAATTTCTGCTCTTATTTCCCTTTGGAACAGAGGCTGCTTTCTGGGTTTCTTGTTGATGTTGATGTTATCAATTTTTGTCTTCAGAATCCCACAAGCTGCCTTTTTGCTATGAAATTTGTCATGGTGACTTAATGATTAAGTGTTTGTGAGAATATTGTCAAACATGAATGACTTGGAGAATAACAAAAATTCGTTCTCCTTAATAACAAAAGCAAAATACTGAAGATGCTGGAAATATGAAGCAAAAACAAAGTGCTGGAGAATCTCAGCAGGTCTGGCAGCATCTGTAGTGAGAGAAACAGTTAATGTTTCAAGTCTGATATATTGCAATAGAATACGAAAGAAAAACATTGAATGACTGCAATTTAACTTCAGGATTAGGAACTGTAGTGCATTGCAGATTTATTTTTATGGTTTGTTCCTAGTGTTATATCCATACTTTATGTCCATAATTTTTTGTGCCTCGTGGTAGAAAATGTTTCAGGTTAATTATGGAGATTCTTCTTTATCTTTACAGGTACAGACCATTAACTACTCAGGAGATGATATTTGCATTGGAACAGCTAATGGAATGTTATGGACAACTCAGAAGGTAAATCTGTATCTCCTTTATAATTAAGTTGTATTTGGCCCTTAGATTTTTTTGGAAGATTATCATATGATCTGACCACAATGGTTTTCCTTATTCGTCCACTTATGAGTATTGAAGTTGTTGTGGTTGTTGTTGTTGTTCTACTGTATCAACAATCTGTCTTTGTTGTAAAGCAAAAATAGTAAATAATCTGTTTGTATGTTAGAGAACGGGAAATAATTATCCCAATGTGCAAAGGAATGAATCAGTAGGATTGCATGATGGGATATAATGGTATTATTATGGAAGTTGGCATGGAGTTGCTGTAGCTTTATATTCCAGTCCTGTTCCTTTCTCTGAGCCATGTCATGTATGAGATTATGACCCTTTCCAGAGGGAGGGAGAGTTTTTTTTTAATTAGGATAGTGTTGTATGAGGAGTCTGGTATTTCCTGGAAATCAGATGAAGAGTGCCCTGACAGGAGCCATGGAACTAATCAGGCATCTGTTACCTTGGCTTCCAGTGCAGACAAGCAGGTCCACTGGTCTTTTGATTCTGTCTCTGAGATAAGTGTTCACCAAGATACAATACCAGTTATTGGGAAAGAGAGAACTCTTCTCCAGTTTACTGAAAATGAAGTCTGCCTCCTCTGGGATTTGTGAAAATACTATCATAGAATGAAAATGTAATGCAATACAGTAAAACTTAATGACCAAACAGCTCCAAGCTTACAAAAGGGCAGACGTGCATTTGTGCGGGACCTTAGAAGGAAATGTTCCTTACTCTGGATCTCTGAAAATGAGAGATTTTGTGCTCTTAGTGAGATTTCTGAAAGTGAAATTATTATGGAAGTTGGCAAGATTTGTCCAGATCAGCTTAAAGAGCATCTTTAGTTTTACAGTGGAATATTGAGAACATTTATCAAAATGCACTATAGTTTAGTAAATCATTTCTTGATAATTGTATTGTACTACTTAAACTGTAATAGGTACTTGACAAAGTGTTGACTTGAGCATGCAAGCCAAGTGTTGATTTCCAAAATTGGGATCACCTTTTATACTCGGATGTATTCTATCCAATGAATTACTTTTGAAGTGAGGTCATCTTTGGTAATATAGTTTTTTTTTAAACTGGGGATGTGATTGTCTACTTCTGCTGGCCTTATTTGTGGTATGTATATGAAATGAGGTTTGAATGATGAACATGAGCCTACAGTGCATAAATGGTCTTGAATTCAGCATCAAGTTGGCAGCCTTGATCAGAAAGGCTGCAGTGCATTTGATGTTGGAAATAGCACACACACATGCAATCAAGAACAAGCATCTAAGATGCACTACTTACTCTATAAAAGATAAATACCGTGGATACTGGAAATCTAAAACGAATATAGAGAATGCTGGAGAAACTTGGCACGTCTGGCAGCATTTGTGGAGAGAAAGAGTTTGGTTTCGTATCTGGTATGAAACTTCAGACCTTTACTCATCTGATTGTGCTTTACCTGATTGAGCTTCACTTGATTGAGGAGTGCATAATGCTTACAATAGATGCACTAAAATGAGAAGTGTTCTGTTCCCAGAACTAAAGATTGTCTATTTCAGTAAACTTTATTTTGAAAAAGGGAAAAAATAGGAAAGAGGCAGAGATGTTCCTTTTAGGATACAGAGTATGTCAGTACTGACCTACTGTTCCATACAGCATAACAGAAATCTTGAGAAACTAAAAGAAAAATAGTTGAACCTATATCTTTATTTTTAGAGTCATGCAAATTCCTACCATTAGAGTCACACAGCACGGAAACAGACCCTTTGGTCCATCCAACCCATGCTGAACATAATCTCAAACTAAACTACTCCCACCTGCTTGCTCCTCGCCAATATCCCTCCAAACGTTTCCTACTCGTGTATCCATCCAAATGTCTTTTAAACGTTGTAATTGTACCCGTATCCATCACATCCATAGGAGGTTCATTCCACATGCAAACCACCCTGTGTGTTAAATCTCTGTTCTCTCTCACCTTAAAAATGTGTTCTAGTCTTGAAATTCCCCATCTTACGGAAAAGACAACTACCATTAACTCTATCTATACCCCTTATTATTTTATGAATTTCTATCAGGTCATGTCTCAACCTCCTCCATTCCAGTGAAAAAAGTCTCAGCCTGTCCAGCCTTTCTTTATAACTCCAAACCTTCCATACCCAGCAACATCCCAGTAAATCTCTTCTGAACCCTCTCCAGCTTAATAATATCCTTCCTGTAACTGGGTGACCAGAAGTGGACACAGTGTTCCAGAAGAAGCCTGTGCAACCTCAACATAATGTCCTAATTCCTATACTCAAAGGACTGAGCAATGAAGGAAAGTGTGCCAAATGCTTTTTTAACCATCACGTCTGACACAAATTTTAAAGAATTATGTATCTGCACCCCTAGGTCCCTCTGTTCTACAAAACTACCCAAGGCCCTACCATTAATTTTACAAGCCCTACCCTTGTTTGTTGTACCAAAATGCAATACCTCACATTTATCCAGATTGAACACCTAATCTGCCATTTTTCCGCCTATTGACCCATCCGATCAAGATCCCTTTGTAATCTTAGAAAACCTTCTTCACTGTTTACAATACCATGAATTATCGTGCCATCCGCAAACTTCCTAATCAAGCCTTTTTTTTTCTCATCCAAATCATTTATATAAATGACAGACAAAAGAGGACCCAGAACCGATCCCTGTAGAACACTGCTGGTATAACAAGGTGTAGAGCTGGATGAACACAGCAGGCCAAGCAGCATCGGAGGAGCAGGAAGGCTGACGTTTTGGGCCTAGACCCTTCTTCAGAAAAGACCCGAAACGTCAGCCTTCCTGCTCCTC